GTATTTCGCTGAAGTTACTAGCTTTGTCAACATGCTTTGGTGAAGGCCTATTCTTTCAATGTGATGCATTGAATAGTTGGATATTATTAGACGTCTAAAAGGACAACATTGTTCGTTTTACTGTAACTAACTGCTAACAAGGTTTTGATATTCAGAGTAGGCTGGCTGTAAGTGCTTGCTAGCATGTTCAATGTTATGGGCTTATGCTAGTGTGATAAGGCCTAGGGGAAGATGCTAATGTTATTTAACTTCTAGATCCTTTCATTTTTCGCTTACAGTGAAACTCAATATGTTTTTTGCATACTGTCTGCCAATCACCGTTAGCTGCACAAGTTACTTTGCGGTAGCTTCGCGTCTCTGATCATCTGAAAAGCTAAATGATATCAGAAATTGGCACAGCTTTTTCTTGTGTTGAAAGAGATCAGCAGGTCAATGTTACTTGGGCTGTGAACGCACCGAACACCAAAACTGCTCCCTGGCGCCGGCTATCTGGCAGCCTCTCTGCGATCCCCTCTCCTATCCGCATGTGGTTGTGTTTGTGCATGTACAGTATATCCTCCCTGTGTGTGTAATGTGTTTAAACACAATTAGAGAGGGGGAAGACATTTCCCTCTGAGTGATGAATACATTATATCTTCTTCTTCTTCTTCTTCTTCTTCTTCTCTTCTTCTTCTTCTTCTTCTTCTTCTTTCTTCTTCTTCTTCTTCTTCTTCTTCTTCTTCTTCTTCTTCTTCTTCTTCTTCTTCTTCTTCTTCTTCTTCTTCTTCTTCTTCTTCTTCTACTTAGAAATCATAAGTGAATGGTCACATTAGGTTTGCCTGCAGTGAATGCTGACAGCTATGAGCTAGTTTATAGATGTATCATGGCATAGCCAAATGTCTCCTATATAACCCACAGGCTGTTACTGGTGGGTTATAGTATCATTTTATATCTGAATTGTGCTCTGGTAGGAATTCGCACCCAACATGCTAACAGTCAAGTTTTTTTTTAACTCTATGGTTTTACACAGTTTTTATAACATGAAATTCACATATTTAACAATTAAATCTTCAAATTAATACAAATGTAGCAATAAAGTGAAAGTCAAAATGTGTTAAAATGTAGTTTTTTTTACTATAATAGGATAGTCAATACCTGTGTTTTTTCAGTTCATCAATGTAAAGTAGTGGTTAAATTAAGCAAAATTACAAAATATTTCTTTCTTTACTCATATATTTTCTTGCAATTATAAATTTTTTAAATGAGTATTAACAGTATTTGTTATGTATTTGACAGTTATATATAGCCATAACAAAAGTATTTTTTAGTAAAATTACAGAAAATGCAGCTAATTTTGCCAACAGAAAATCATTTATTTTTACGGTTAGTTTTGTTAAATTCGCATTTAAAAACGGCTAAAAAACTGATAAATAATGTATTCCATTTCTACAGTTTTTTTTTGTTAAAATATATGACACATTTCAATAAACCGTTATTATGAATTATGAAATACAATCAAAAACTGTAATTTTTTTTGGGGAAAAACTGTAAAAACATGACTGGATGTGTCAGAACTTTCTCCAATTAAACAAAGATAAAACTGAAGTAATGGTTTTTGGAGCCAAGGCAGAACGTATAAAAGTTAGCGCTGAGCTTCAGTCTGCAATGTTCAAAACAACAGATAAAGCCAGAAATCTAGGTGTAGTCATGGACTCTGACCTGAGTTTCAACAGTCACATTAAAACAGTTACTAAATCAGCCTACTATCACCTAAAGAACATATCTAAGATTAAAAGACTAATGTCACAGCAGGATTTGGAAAAACTTGTCCATGCTTTTATCTTCAGTTGACTGGACTACTGCAATGGTGTCTTTACAGGTCTCACTAAAAAGCTGCAGCTAATTCAGAACGCCGCTGCTCGAGTCCTCACTAACACTAAGAAAGTGGATCACATCACTCCTGTTCTGAAGTCTTTACACTGGCTTCCTGTGTGTCAAAGAATAGATTACAAAATATTGTTGCTGGTTTATAAAGCTTTGAATGGTTTAGGCCCTAAATACATGTCTGACCTACTGCTAAATTATGAACCATCGAGAACTCTCAGGTCTTCAGGGACTGGTCAGCTTTCTGTCCCCAGAGTCAGAACTAAACATGGTAAAGCAGCGTTCAGTTATTATGCTCCAAATATTTGGAACAAACTCCCAGAAACCTGCAGGTCCGCTGCAACTCTTACTACTTTTAAATCCAGGCTGAAGACTTTTCTTTTTGCCGCTGCTTTTAATTGAACTATTCACATCTTAAACTGCACTGTAACTTTTATCCATGTATTTTTTCTTTTAATGTTTATTTTATTATCTTTTCTTTTTAATGACTGATTTTAAATGTCATTTTCTTAATGTCTTCCATTTTTGTAAAACACTTTGAATTGCCTTGTGTTGAAAGGTGCTATATAAATAAACTTGCCTTGCCTTGCCTTGCCTTGCCTTACCTGCATGAAAGAAAAAGTGCAGTCCATCAGGATTTATGAATTTAACATTCAATGTGAAATCACTTTATTCGGTTCTTTTGAATACAGTAGTTGAGATCCTGGTATGATGAATCACTTCCACATGCTGCAGTAAGGAGCTCTTTATTTCACAAGACCCATGCAAGAGGAACAAATGGTTTACTCTTAAATCTTTCAAGACATCTGTGATACACACAAGTGGTACTTTGAGTCTAACAGAGCATATTGAATTCAAATTAGATTTATTTCATGGAATAACTTCAGGTCTTTATTGTTCTTCCTCCTTGACTTCTGTGGCAGCTGGCTCCTCTTCAGGGCACAGGTCTGAAACAAAAATAGTTGATACGTGCTTCAATATTCTCCTTACTGCCATGTGTGTGGTGGTGAATTGCTATCTTACCTGTGATATCTTTGGTGAAGAAGAATTCTCGGGGGAATTTGAGGCATGCAGCTTGTTGCTTGACAACTTCCAGATCAAGGTCATCCAATTTCCCAGTCTTTGCTGCAGGGCAGGTAGGAGGAGAAACACGTTAAAGTCAACCAAATGGAGTGATACAATCCAGCATTTTAGAGCTTTACACTTGTCAGAGAAGCTGAGAGTAACAGACAGCAGTGCACTCACTGAAGATGTACAGGTTCATTATGGCCTCCTCTGTGGTGTCGGTCCAGAGGATGCAGTCAGTGCAGCTCCCCAGGTGCCTCCCAGTGTGCACGCGATCATTGTAGTTAATGGTAACTATGAGATACAGAAGATTAACATGTTCTTATGCATTTATAGTAACTGTGTGTTTAAGCACACATTATAATCATGATTTACTTACATGTCACATTGGAGTCATTTCTGGGGATGGTGTAATTGACGCTTCCATACACACATTTCCCATTTCTTGAAAGGAGAGACAAATATGACATAAGCCTAAGCAGTTACCTCATGGATTGATTTGCTTAATTCATTAATTAAAAAAAAGTGATGAACAGTTACATTTTGCGTGTCCAGCGTAGAGTCATGTCCTCACTACCAGGTATGGGGGTGAATTTCATCCAGGAGCTGTTGACATCTTGAAGTGCACCCCTGATATCTCCAGTGTTTGATACTCCAGCATGGAGGATCCATTTCCCAGCAACCTAGACACAAATGAACACGTTTTTAGTTTAATAACGAGTCTCAGCGTAAACAAATCGTTTTTGTTTTCAGTTGTATAGCCCTATAGAATAATAATGTAAAGTACACTGGGGGTTAAGGTTTAATCATGTGAGCAACGTACCCTGCTGCGATTCTCCAGAGGATTCAGCAGGTCTTCACAAACTGGATCAGATGCTGCAGTCAGGGAGGAGAGAGCCAGCAGAGCTAAACAAAACTGAACAGACATGATTAGAAGTCAAAATCACAGCCAACAGGAGACTGCAACACTATGGGCACAGCAGTAGTGCTAGACTTAAGACTAATATAGGGGAAGTTACATAACTATGGGTGAGAGAGAGAGAGACAGAGCAGGAGAGAGAGTTTTTGGTGATGAATAAGGACACGAGGTGGGCGGGCGACTGTATGTTTGTGAAATGATGTAACAATTTGCATCTCTGTAGTGACCAAAGAGCATATTGACAGAGTACTTTTGGCATCACTGATGTTTGCTGATCTCTGCTTGTTTTTTTCACGCAGAAGATAGGGATGATAGTTCATGTGAATGTTTGTTATATATTTATGTTTGTAAGAAGTTTTATTATAGTGTCATACAAGAGAAATACTGAGGTCTTCTTTGTGGTTCTGGCAAAGGCTCACTCACGCTTTCTTCTACGGTCTTCTGGTGATGAATTATTCCTCCCGTCACTCTTTCTCTCTGTTTGAAGACAGGGAGTTGTTCTCATGGAAAATGCAAATACCAGTCAATAAATAAATATATATATGGGACTAATCTAAACAGTGTTGAGAAGGCAGTGTTACAGTTATATTACATTTAAAGGCAGTACATAATTACACATCTATGACTGTGTTGTTTCAGGAATTATTCCTTTTGAACTCTCTGACCTATAAGATTGTACTGTTAATGAGCATGCACTGCTAGTATAATAATGTGGATACTATATTACAGTAGGCTCTTATTTCACTATGTGTTCAAGGTAAAAGATGGCTACGTTCTATTGTAAATGCATTTAGGAAAAGGCTGTTACTGCACATGTTACCATGCTCTTTTGCTATGCTTATGATTTGTCCTCTGCTGACTTTTGCAGGAGCCCTATCAAGTTCATGCAGTTCACACGAGGAGTCTGTCAAGCTTCGTTGCTCAAGGGCAATGGCTTAAATGCACTAGGGTGGTTAATAGGGAGGGAGCTTGCGTTTCCCCATATAGTGTTCACTCTTACTGTATGTGTACTCACACTGCTGTTCCGTGCAACACATGGAGCAGAACCACACAACTTAGAGAGGCATGACTTTGGATCACCTTGTCTGCAAACCCTGAATTACACCAGTCAATGATACACACAGTCCAAACAAATTGAGAGCGACACTTTGACTAAGGGAAGAGAAGATTTATACTAGCATATTCAAAACCCATGAAATTCTTCTCTGTGTATTTACAAAAACATAATACAAGAATAAAAAAGAGAAAATTAACACATGACTAATGGAGTCCCACATACTGCCACAAAACAGAAAACATGATCCAATTTACAAATGCATCGTCTTGCACTCCCACTTATGGCTTCAATCTAACATAAGTGACTAAATAAAATATTTCTGTTCAGTTGTGATGGTGCACCAGCAGTCCATCCCTCCTCTCCAGATTTGTTTAAATAATAATAATAATAGTAATAATAATAATATCAAATACACATACAAGACAAGAGGTGCTACATTTGGGAGCTGTACACTATGCAGTAGGGAGAGGGAAATGTTCACAGGCATATCAACCTTTTGTATGATGATTATACATCTTGGGCGGTGAAAAAGTTGAAAACATTGATTAAAAACAAGCTTATTTAGCTTTCTGTACCAACCAACCTTTCACATCACACTGAGATCACAGTTCATCCGGATGGAAATAGAGAACAAGTGGCCAGAGTGACTCAATAAGCTTGTGTCTAACAGTTCACCTTTCATACTGGTCATCTCTCTTTGTAAGTCCACTCAAGAAAGTCAATTGATGAATCATTAGGATAAAGGTTAAAAGAACTACAGATAACAGAGGCACAGCAAACACAAATCAAATCACATGACAGGTTCAGTGTCCTCATTTGTTATATAATATAGTCAAATAAAAAATCTAACTTTTGTCCTGTGCACTCAACGGGATGTAAAAAAGCCCAATAGGAAACCGCCAACACCGTCAATTGAAACAGAGGTTAATAGCTTAATAAAGAAAGATGCATCACTTTATTATATTAAAAAAAATTGGTTTGTATTAGTGGGTATAAACCTTTTTACCCAGTGTTATCTCTACTGCTCTCACAGCATTATAACATACCTTTGGAAAGAGGAAGTAACACAATATTTCTCTCACAATTAGAATCACTCAATTCATCACTGGATTGGATTTTGTTTCTATCGCCCCACATGGTCTTGTGTTCAACAAAAGTTACAGTCTTGCTTCAAGCCTCAAACAAAACTGGTTTGCGAGTTTTTTCAATAACCACACGATGTTACTTCCAATTTTGATTTTGAAGAGATCTCACATTTTTAACAATTATGGCTGAGTTTGGGAGTATAACTAGCAAAACGACTTATAGTACAAAACATAAAACACAATGTAAGTGGTCTGAACACGTGTGAAAACCACAAAAGCTGAATATTAAGACAGATTTCTGCACAAGCCTTGAATAAACCTTGTTATTGTGATGTATCTCCAATTGTCTTTCAGTAACGGACAAACGATTTGTCGAGAAAAGACTAAAGATGTGACCACCAGTTGGATTAAATTTGACCATCAATCAAAACGTTTCTATAAATCCTTGAACATTGAAACCTTAGCATAAATAGGATACTGATTTGTTTTTGGGCATGAACAAAAAGCAGACAGGAGTGTGTTCACAGTCTCATTCACGCTGTATGCAAATATACAAAGAGTTCTCCTCCAGGGGTTTCAATTTGGTTCCTTTGTACAGTCTCATAGTTGCAGAGGAAGAACTGATGAATGTAGCAGTCCCCACTTCAAACTGGAGAAGAAACGGGAGAGAAGAGACGTGGACAGAAACGATGGAGGGGGGGGGGTCGGGGGTTAGTAGGAGGACGGAGCGGGGGGGCGACTGCCTGACATGGCAGGTTGTGGTGGAGGAAGAGTCACTGGCCTAGATGACATCACATCCTGTCCCGCTGCTTTTCACTGATGCACCCCAGCATGATGGGCGGCTGAACCGAACCTGCTTCAGAGCCTTCACACACTCATCGTCATGTTTGGAGAATACTGCAGGGATAACATGAGGGGAAACAAGTATGTGTGAGTGTGTGTGTAGGAACATTTTGCACTGTTACAATCAGAAATCCCTCCCAAATGTTATGGATCATGTCCAACAATTATAAGAAATAGTAGGCATTATGGGAAACATGCATTTGTGATTTCCTCGCAATCTAAGTGAACCCATTTCAATGGGATCTTAGGTAGCTGATGGTCAAAACCTCATTCTATACTGTCATTTTTTACGTCATCTTAAAAATAAGGGTCCAGTATTGCAACTAGCGGTGTTGTTGCAGATTGCAAACATCTGAATACCCCACATAAACCCCTCCTTTCCCAAACATGTCAAAGAACCTACGCAGCCTTCAGGTAACGTTAAAAATGCAAATGGCTCTCTCTTAACCCAGCGTTGAGGTTTGTCCATTCAGGGCTACTGTAGAAACATGGTGGACTCTGTGAGGAGGATGCAGATATGAAGGGCTTAATCTAATGTAAAGAAAACTACGTTACTACCCTTTTCGGACGTGTAATGAGCTAAAGCTTTGTTGTTTATTGATATCAGACAATGATACTACAGATTATTCAATTATTAATTAAATGTTTCGTTTTGTTATTGCATTCATTTGTATAGTACTGTATCATGTCTGTATTACCTTTTGTTTCATTTGTATTTTCTTTAGTTTTACACGCTCGAAAATAAATAAATAAACTAAACGATTATACATTTCAGGTGATTATACACTAATGAAAACCTATTATTATCAGTATATTCTAATGCTGTCAATAAATCCAGCTAATTCCTACACATTGTTCCTATATTTCTATAGTTTAAGTTTTGAACACTCGCTACCCTAGATCCCTCTAATCTCCACATATAGCAGATTATAATTGACTTACACTTTCATTCTGAAAAGGGTTTAGGAAGTTTCCTCCCATCTCTCCATCCTCCCTGGGGGTCCCAGGCTGGTTACTCATGCTAAGGTTACCAGGAGAGTTCTTTAAAACAAATGGTAATGGTATGCTATTAAATGATCAAATATTGACACTGCAATTGTCATGTAAAGTAGATAAATATATTATCTCACCTTAGGGAGGCTGTCCATATCACCTGACCCTAAAAGAGGGAACACATTGTAAAATTATAACTGGAGATTTTGTGTCAATACGGCACATACTGTACAAACTACTTATTCCTATACCTAGTGATCCATTCATGTGATGGGGCTCCATCCCAGCCATCCCCCCTAATGGACCGTCGCCACCTGCACCCATAGGGAACTGAGGGGAAAACTATTAGATATATACACAAACTCTACCAAACACACAGATATGTGATATACACTGAGAGAGGAATGTCTTACGTTTGGTCGGCTTCCACCTGGAGGGACTGTGTTTATCATCGTGTACATGTTGTCGCCAGAGTTGGTTGAATCTGATGTAATGAACAGAAAAACAATGAGTTTGAAAGAGCACCAACGTACAGCTCTCGAAAACATCAAGAGACCACTCCAAGTTTTTCTTAAATCTCAATCTCTACATGTATGGCAACCATTCCATTCCAGTGTCTGTTGAATTCCAACACAGATAAATGCTGTCAGTAGTTTTATATTAGAATAACTCAGTAGTTATATTATAGAATAATATCAAAAAACATTATTTTACTCAAACACATACTTATAAATAGTAAAACCAGAGAAACTGATAATGCTGCAGTGGTCTCTTGATTTCCAGAGCTGTATGTATGTTCAGATATAGACACACACTCAAACACACATAGACACACACTCAAACACACACACACAGATCTTGCCTGCTGGACTTGGCATTATTGGGGTCCCAGGTGCCCCCCCTCCTCCTGGTGGTCCCTAAAAATGAGAGTTTTGGTTTCCATAAGTTTCATTCATAAAGCAATGACTTTCAACGTGTACAGCTAGTGAACAATGACAGTTTAAACTCAAACATACATACCACATAATTTCCTGGAGATGCAGAAGAGTAGGGGGTCTGCAAAAAAACAAAGGGTAATCATGAAAGAAATGAAGTAACTTTTTTTTAGTTTGGTGTCTTTTTTTTGTCAAGTCACTTACCGAATTGGAGTTAGGAGGATTTGGCCAAGGTCTGCCCCCACCCGGTCCCCTGGAACACACGCACACACACACACACACACACACACACACACACACACACACACACACACACACACACACACACACACACACACACACACACACACACACACACACACACACACACACACACACACACACACACACACACACACACACACACACACACACACACACACACACTTTAGTCGTCTGCTTTTGGTAAGCCTCTTTGTTTCCAAATCATTTGGGCAACAGTTGGCAACAACATGTCCGCCTGATGCCAGAGAGGTACAGGGAACAGGGTGTTCTAAGTGAGACAACTGTGAGAGGGTAGTTTAGATTACAGTGAGTGTGTGTAGAAAACATTATGTTGATACCACTCACATGTTCATGCCTGGCATCCCAGGACCAACCAGGGCGTTAAGTGGTGGTCTCATGCCACCTCCATAGCCCTTAAGAAACAGATATCAGACATCCTTAGTTATGTTTACGAGAACTACCAGAACCAATTCTTTGTACATTTCCCTAAAGATTACCATGTCCCATACCTGGGGCCCGAGCGGTACCATGCCTCTGGGCGGTGTCATCCGCTGCATCGGACCTCCCATACCTGGATGTCCTGAAACATATGAAACTACAATCAGCCATCAGTTTGTTCCAGAGCAGTGTATCCACGTTGGATGACTTTTCTATTCTTCAGTCAGCTATTTTGGGCCATGTGTATCTTTATGGTCTAGTTTTAAGCTGAGAGAGGTGGAACGTTTTTTAACTCTATCTCTCATCAAGCTTGTTCATGTCATGTATTTCACACGTTTGTCTGATCACTACTGTGTTTCAAAACCCTGAGAGGACATACATTCCCTGTCTGAGATTTTTAGAAGTGTGTCTAAATGTAACATTTACAAGTTCAGCTTTAGTTACAGCAGTTTAACAGTAACTGAACATGTTAGGTTTTTTAATCTGTGCATCATTTATATGTGTTCTCTGAAGAAGTGAGTAGTTTGTGTGAATAGGGGTGTACTTAAAGATAAACAGATATCTGTGTATTACTCTCAATTAAAAGACTTAACTTCTAATAAACTCATCCTACAAGTGTCAGTGTGGCCACAGACTAATACAGCGTTTGCCTAAAGTACCAGAATGGATCTTTACTAGTAAATGATCATACAGTCCCACAATCAGGTTGTTACATTACATTACATGTTACTTGTTAGACGCTTTTATCCAAAGCGACTTACATACTCAATACTGTGGGCAATCCCCACAGGAGCAATTTGGGGTGAAGTGTCTTGCCCAGGGACACAACGACATGCTGACTGCAGTGGGGTTTGAAACTGTGACCCCCTGATCCGAACACCAACGCACAACCCACTGCACCACACGCCTCCTGTTGAGATCTCCATATTAGGATGAATACTTAAAACGAAAGTTAATTATAATCAAATATAATCATCATATTCTTGTATAACCCACAATGAAAATGCTTCATATTTTATGATGTTCTATATTTACAGTATAAACAAAACACAAGTGGTTTGTTAAGTTGAGTGTGTAAGGCCTGTAATGGTTTATGGGTGTCACTGATAAGAAGGCAGTTTCTTCCCTCTCCCCTCACAGCAGTACACAGGGAGGGGGGCTCCTGACTTAAGGAGAAATACATTGAGGCCCCAAAAAGGTGGTTATGTCATAGCCGAGAATAATATTTTGCAAGTCCTGCAGAGTAGGGGTCATGTCCTTTTTACACAAACATGGGAAGGTGTGTCTTATGCCAGAGCCATAGAATATGTCTGGTCATGTCCAGTTCTTTACATCAGAGGCCATGCCCAGTTTCCACAAATATGGGTATGGAGGAGGTGTCTTTAGGTTTTTCTATCCTGTTTTCGAGCATAAAGACACTGGCAGATGAGGAGGAACCTTCTTTTTGGAGAGAGAGAGAGAGCAGGGGGGGGGATCCCCTGGTATATTCTCTCTCGGTAACGCTCTCTCCCTGGAGAGCTGGGTTTTTGCTCTCGGTAAGGTTCTCTCAAACTTGGTAACTATTGCGTAAATCTCTGTGTATTGAATGCTGAGGGAATGGTTTAGATGAGAGTTGTGAACGGGATCTTTTATACCTACCATTCTTTAAATTTGTTGGAATTCTTGCCCCTACCATTCTTTAAATGTGTTGGAATTCTTACCCCTACCATTCTTTAAATGTGTTGGAATTCTTGCCCCTACCATTCTTTAAATGTGTTGGAATTCTTACCCCTACCATTCTTTAAATGTGTTGGAATTCTTACCCCTACCATTCTTTAAATGTTTTGGAATTCTTACCCCTACCATTCTTTAAATGTGTTGGAATTCTTACCCCTACCATTCTTTAAATGTGTTGGAATTCTTACCCCTACCATTCTTTAAATGTGTTGGAATTCTTACCCCTACCATTCTTTAAATGTGTTGGAATTCTTATACCTACCATTCTTTAAATGTGTTGGAATTCTTTAATGGGTGAACTATGAATTAAGGTTTTAGATTAGAAAAGAACCCCAGCATGATATGTTTAGTATGATTATAATGTTGTAACGAGAGAAGGTAAAAACCCTGTATTAGTTTGGACCTATTTTTCTTCAAATAAACTGATCCCACCTTTTGGATTGGGACAATTTAAAAGACATCTGCGCTCTCCTCTCCTGCTTGAAAGGTAAGATCGCACACTGCCACACTCACACTTAGGTAGGGCCACACCTCATTTACTGATATCAAAATCCTTCGGGATCGCTTAAACAGATTTAGGGGGTCGTCTGAATTGAAACAGCAGTTAATTGAACCTGGTTCTTCGGGGAGTTAATAGAGGTGAGATCTTGCTGATCGTTGGTGGATCTGAGCCAAGCAGTAAACTTACATAGACTCAATAACTTCGGTTAGGTCAATTAGGAGGTCTGAGTAATTTAAGTTCGGAATAAATTATCGGATGACTCCCGACTCTTACACTCCCTATTGTTGTTAGTTCTGTTTTCTTTTGTGTAACATCTTGAAGATGACTGAATGTATTTCCATATTTTGTAATGACTTGGTGACGCCTAACATTTTCCACCAGAGCACCAATGGTGTGATGATGACATTTGTGATTTTGTTGCAGACATTAAAGTTTTATCTAGCAATTATCAAGTAAAACTTGGCCAAACACTTGCAAAAACTGAGCATGCCAACATTAGCATTTTGGTCAAAGCACCACTTTGCCTTCATTCAGCTTTACTTGTTAATAGTTCTAGGATGTAAGTTTTACGACGAGGGCTTTACCAAGCTGTGTGTCCACAGAAAATACTTTTGGTTTAAAAGTAAAAGATAAAATAATGATGTCCTTTGAGTAAATGGGTTATGACTCAGCAATATATTTATTATACAGGTTGTGTTTGCATACCTTGCAGTCTTGTGGGGTCCATTCCACTCGGTAACATGGACTGGCTGCCTGGCACTCCCAGTCCCTACAGAGGGAGGAGGAGGCATCAACAGCATTATAGTGACAGTCACACAAACACTTTCCATTTCCACTATTCACAGTACTGTCTGCTGCCTGCAGGGGTCAGTGTGGCTCTTACCTGATTGGGTAACCTGAGAGTTGGTCTGGGTCCTCCGGGGTATCGAGGTGACATAAACGGCTGAAATAAATGACAGAATAAATGCATGTTCAGTAACTCTGGGTTATTTATCTCACAATCTAAAAAATACACACTCTGCTGTTCAAGAGTCTGTAGTGAAGCTCATGCCTTCATGTATAACACTACATACTTAAAGGTGGGGTAGGTAAGTTTGAGAAACCGGCTCGAGATACACTTTTTGTTATATTCCATGGAATGCTCTTAACATCCCGATAGCAATGAATATCTTAAGTGCTTTGACAAAAAATCCATTAAAAAATGTCATCTGTGGAAGCCGTAGTACTGTAAAAAGCACGACCAATCATTTTAGCCGGCCCGGCTAAAATACCTGGATGGCCTACCTGCCTGTCAGCCTTCCATCTGTGCACAAACTTATCTCGTGCCCTCATTGGTCATGTGTGCGTTCGTGTGTGTTGGAGGAGGGGCTCTGTAAGGAAGTGGCAGATTTTTTCCAGCTGTGTATTTTCAAATTCTTGCGCACTCGAGCTGGTTTCTCCAAAATTACCTACCCCACCTTTAAGACAGGAGAATATAATGGAAATACATCTATATCAATAAACCTTTATTGAAATAACAAAATTAAGAGATGCAACCAAATATGACAAAATAAAAGGCCCTCATTTTCAAGAAAAGGAATCATAGCTTATTTTTTAAAACCCCATTCACAGAAACAAAAGTGGTGTATAACCAGTATGAAGCACCACTATGAAGAGTCATTCTTCAAAACAGAAAACCAACCACAGCACTTTTCCTTTAACAACAGTTCCATGACCGTCAATTCAGGAAGCCGACCACACTTTCATTGGATTGGATTTATGGAAAAAGAATGGGATAATAAAAGCGGCGGTCGGTTAATAATGATGTCAGCGTATGTGTAAACTGTTTGGCAGCGGGTGTGAGAATCTCTTTTGCAGCTGGGAGTGGGTTTTCGTTTGTCCTCCTCACCACAGACAGTAGCAATGCTTCTGCTATGTTGGCTGAGCTGATGCCACTGTGGTCAGAAAGGCCTGCAGAGTAAGAGAAGCAATGCAACAACCTGCCACTAGAGAGCAATGGTCCACTTGTTTTCATCAGGGTCTTTATTTCTCATTACACCTCTTCTCATCTCCCAGATACACAACTACACTGCTTTAAGTCTATTAAAGTACTATAGTAGCTTACAATTTGTTTTCATACTTGCATGAAGAAATACATGCATACAATTTACAGAGAAAGTTCCTAATGAATGCATAAATGAATGAAGTTGAAGTACAAAAATGTGGATATAATATTGAGGGCATTGCTATGTTTTGTTTGAGATCCTCATGTATTTTGCTTTAGATGATACTCTACATCCAGTTGAAATGCAAATCAGTTTATGGAGCCTGACAGACGACCGGGGAATCTGGTAAATGTTGAGTTTCAGTAACCGATAGGTCTCGACAAGACCTTGTCTCCAAAGATCAATTGATCTTCAGAAGGAGATTGGAAAGGATGTTTGGAGTTTTTTTTAAAGCGGAGTCGAGAAATGCCTATGAAGGATATTGATCTGCGTGTCAGATGCGAGCGTCTGAGTTTGACTGATAATGTCGGTTAATCAATGTGCGACTGGCTGAGTCCTTCTGATGGAGAACAGAGAGGATCTGGGGCCAAGCTGCATGTGTGACTTTTTGTTAGCGAGACATTTATTTCTCCTGTCAGACTCTTTTGTCCCCGTTTTTGAGAAAACACACACTGGTGCTCCCACACACAGATAAATGCTGATTATTCACAGAGACTTTGTACAATAACACATACAGTTAAGTGAGTGAGATCTTTGAGGAACAGCATCATGAACGAAATACTCACATATGGAAATAAAAGTATTACTGTATGTATTTTACCTAATTAAGATTGAAGATTCAACTTATTGTCATTACGTAGTACAGGTAGTATGTAACGAAACGGTTACTCTGCATTTGACCCATCCTAGTGTTAGGAGCAGTGGGCTGCCATTATGTACGCCCGGGGAGCAGTGTAGGGAACGGGACACCTCGGTAGCACTTGGTCTTTCCGGGACTTGAACTGGTGACCTTCCAGTTGCCAAGCCAAGTCCCTATGGACTTCGCCACCACCGCCCCTCTGTAAGATGTACCGGTAAGTGGCCTAAAGACCCAAATCTTTTTCTCCCCACTTTCAGTTTCTTTGTTGGTGTGTGTGTGTGTGTGTGTGTGTGTGTGTGTGTGTGTGTGTGTGTGTGTGTGTGTACCATTTACCTGAAAGAACCCTGGAGGGACTGGTCCCACTGGCATGCCCTCTCCTGGGGGAAGGCTCCCGAGGACCGGGCTGGGAGCCGCTGCAGCACTCTGAGAGAGGAAACACACACAAAGAAAGAGAAATAAGTCTCAACTCAAAGCAGTCTGCTGGTATTCAACACAATTCTGCTCATCAGTGGCTGAAAGTAACAACATTAAGTTACATGTCGTATTTACAGTGAGCACATTTTATATATCAGAATCTGAATCCCCAGGGGAAGTTTGATAACAAGATTAAAAGTGGTTCCTTTACATACTTTAGTATAGTCCTACTTCCTCTGCACTTTTGAATAATATTGCACATTTAACTCAGCTATTTAATATACACTCTAGTTTCTTTGCAGAGTAAGGTTATATGTGATGAGTTTATCAAATATGAGGCATTGTTAAAAAAAGTTCTACCTAATATAATATGAAAAAGTTAAAACTGCAAAGGCTCTAACTCAGCCAGCAGCATCAATGCAATATAAATGATCCAATAACTTTACGAGTTTAACACTCACAGGGGCATTGTGTTTGCATTATGAGAACTACACTCTTAATTCTGACACTTAAAGTACATTTTCAGTCCGTACAGCACAGTACCTCTTCCAAACATGCCACTAAGGACACAATACAAGGGTCTTCCAACATGTCTCACTTGATTTCCATTCCTCAGTGGGATATTTCCTGTTTCTGCAGATACCCTGCCATGTCACGTTTATTTTTAAACCTTGTGTTTTTTGTTGTGCTTTCCCAGACGGGTGGTTCTGGCACATCTCAGCCTCTGCCTACTTCCTGAGGCATTGTACTACTAACTAACTAACCCAGAATTACCACCCAGCACCGGCCTCTTCCTCATGACATTTACAGACCAAATAACTGGTAAATTGATGAGAGTATACGTCATCCACATATAGGATAATGTGTGAACAGTGAGCACATACTGACAGCATATCTGAACACTCTTTGTGTTCTTGTGTTCTTGTGTTCTTGTGTTCTTGTGTGTGGGGATGTGTCGTGTGGAGGGGGGGAGAGGAGAGAGAGAGGAGAGAGAGAGAGAGAGAGAGAGAAGAGAGGAGAGAGAGAGAGAGAGAGAGAGAGAGGAGAGAGAGAGAGAAGAGGAGATAGAAGAGAGAGAGAGCGTAGAGAGAGAGAGAGAGAGAGAGAAGAAGAGAGAGAGAGAGAGAGAGAGAGAGCGAGAGAGAGAGAGGCAAGGAGAGAGAGAGCGAAGAGCAGCAGAAGAGAAGACTGCGAGAGAGTGAGAGATCTAGAGAGAGCCTCGAGAGATCGTATAGATAGAGATGCGCTCCTAGAATAGCTATATCGAGCGAGCGCTATAGTAGTATCGATCGATATTCTCTCTCTCTCTCTTCTCTCTTCTCCTCCTCTCTCTCTTCTCTCTGCCTCCTCTTCTATCTCTCTCTCTCTCTCTCTCTCTCTGCTTGGTGTAAAGAGCTCCAGTGAAATTCACCCACAGTCTCTGAAGTTTCCGCCAGCTGACTTTTTAGGTCAGACAGGAACGAGGTTTAATCAGAGCTAAGATAAAAGCCGGCTGACGACACTCTTGTATCCTCCTCTGCTCCACCCCACCACCCTCGCTATCCCCCCCCGGCCTCCCTCATTGTCGTTCATGTTTCCAAACGTTAATGTTCGGCAACAGGGCAAAGGATTCAGCTCTTTGATTCCATATTCTGCTGCAAACGGAGCTCGTACTTGACTCAGCAGCTGCATGTAAGGATGGATATTGTATCTCGGTGTTAAAGCAGTGAAACCAGTGAATTTGAGAGTGTTTTTCCTCTCTCCCTGCTCTTTTTTGCAACCTGGATTACCCAGAATGCCTTTACTCCCTGGCAGCCTGGAGGTCTGCTGAGTTTGCCTTCCCTCACAGAGAAGGGGGAGAGAGAGAGGGAGCGAAAGAGGAGAAAGGAGGACAAAGCACAGATTACGAGTGTGCATATGTGTGTGTGTGTGTGTGTGTGTGTGTGTGTGTGTGTGTGTGTGTGTGTGTGTGTGTGTGTGTGTGTGTGTGTGTGTGTGTGTGTGTTTGTGTGTATGTGTGCGTGTGTCTATGGGAGTGCACTTAATGTTTGTTTGTGTGGGAAAAGGACAACTGGGGGAGGGAAAACATCTACCTGACCTGCTGACAAAGCAGCATTTTCCAAATACAGCAACGAGAAAAAAACAGGAAAAAAACCGTCAGGATATATCTGCCCCAAAACCAGCACCACCCTCATCCTACGAAAAACACAAACAACGCTGGGAACAACACCAACTCCTCTGGTGCTGATGGCCTCCCTTGATTATGACAAACTAGATTCAAATGACATTATAAAAATCTGAGGTAAATCCGTAGACTGTATATATAAAGGGTAAATCACATTGATTCACAAAGCCTGTGGATGTTTATTTCCAAGTTGCTTCTCAAGATACCATGGTTGGGCAAATCACATGGTTTGCACACTGATGCTTGGTTAACATTTGGGCAGCTTTTGTACTTCTAAACATTTTGTGAAAAATACTTATTTGCTTTCTTGGCAAAAGTGAGATAAAATTACCCAATTTCATGTTGGTTTGGTTATTGTGAAGCTACCGCCAGCAGTTGGTTAGCTTAACTAAGCACAAGGATGAGAAACAGGAGGAAACAAGCTGGCCTGGCTGTGTCTGAAACATAACAAAATCTGGCTTCAAAGTAGAAAAAACGTGTCTGGCACTGTGCATTTCCCTTATGTATGGTTTGTGAGATAATTTTCCAGTGATCAGCACAATCCTGAACCTCATCACAAACAGTAGTTTTTAAATAAAATCTGTCCAACCAGACCTTCAACTCCTACAATAATACATAAATCACTGTGAGTTACTCAATTAAGAGTGCACTCACAGTGGGTCGGAGAGGGGTGTTACTATACACCCAAGCACTGAGATAATATTCCCTAAACTCAGTTCAATTGGACTGACAGGCATGATTACAATATTCATTCAAAGTGGCAAGCAGTCAATAGAGCTTAAGGATGTGCAGACTCATACAAACCTGGTATCTTTAAAGACTGGAAAGACTTGGTGTTTATTTCAATATTTCAATACATGCTCATGCCTCTTGGTTTCACTAACTACCTTTATCTGCTGACTTATAGATAGTAAAAGAGAAAGATTTAAGCAACATTTAATGTTTGTCCTAATGGTAACGATTTTGTGTAACTGTTGATAACAGTTGGATTAAACATGCTGATATGCTTAGACCTTAACTGTACCTCCCCCATTCAAAAACTACTCCTCTTATGGCTGTTCATAATTGAGTTTGCAGATTGGTGCAATTATCTTGAGTTAGCTTTAACATAGTGACCGGAAAGTTCATGTTAAATGTCTGTTATTATACTACTGTAAATGACTCTGGATTAGATACAATGCATTCCTGTTAGCCAGTTATTTTTAAATACTGATTCACAGCAAAGCTCAACATATTCCAGCACTTAACCTTCACAAACATCAACCGCACACACACTGTTTCCCACTGTTAGTGAGTCCATCATTTACACTCCTCTCAGATCAGCTTTAACACTTCTGTGACGAGGCCGAGTGAGAGGGACAATGAGCTGTTCAGCTGGTGGTTTTACACATTAACACATTGTTTGATAGTACACATTATTGTTTACAACAATTAATTTGTGTGGTGAGAATGTATACCTTTCTTAAAGCATAAACAGTATTGCTGATAATATTTATTGCACTTGACCTATATGGATGATTGCAGATTCAAATGGTAAGACCCAAATGATCTCAGAAACTCGCGCAATTTCTAAGAACTACTTTTAATAAAATGTTTTGTTTAAAGCAGGTTGAAATATTCAATCTAATATGAAATATCTGAATGCTCTCTTTATACCAGCTTAATTATCTGCTTTTATGTTTTAGATTGTAGCTCCTTCTCCCTTTATTCTCTGTTTTCTTCACTGTTTCTGTCTGTCATTTGGTTTCAAGAGTGATCAAATCCTTCAATGATTTGCTCTTTGTGGTTTGTTGTGTACAATGATCCCTACATCCGTAGTCGATGGCGTTGTACCCAAAAGGGGTTTGTGATGAAACCTGAGGCTTTGCATCGGCCCTGCATGTCCTCAGCTGAACACCTGCATCTCCTGGCAAACTCATTTGTTGCATAAATTATTCAAACCACCCCCCTGCAGGAGAACTCTACAGTACACCAGACACACAAAACAACAGATTCAGTCCTTAGCGCTGTAACATCACCAAAGTACACTGCCATCCACAAACACGAGGTATCCAAAATGAGGGGAATAATTTGATGTGTCAACAGATACTGATTTTCACTGTCAGTGTTTTTATATCTCCAGTGTTAAAGGATTACCAAGATATTGAATATGCATACAAAGAAAGAAGACATTCACGATGGTATGTATCATATGTCAATATCAAAAGGACAATGCACGAGATTGAAATGAAGTTGTTCAAGTACAGGTTCTGTATGTGAGAACGAAAACAAAGAGGGAGATTTCAGCCACAACAGAATTATTAATCTAAAATGATGCACTTGCTACTGGCTCATAATGGATACAAAAAAAACATGTACCATATATTGTAGATTGAAAACACATTATGTAAAGTTCAAATACAAAAACAGTTGAAGGAAGACATTGAGAGGTAGTACAATTACACTGCACCTCGCTACTTTACAACCTAATCAGAGTTTCTTAATCGCATCACACTAAAGGGCTCAGTAATACTTAATGAGATAACTTGCAAACTCTTTCATCCCTATATGTTTACTGATTGTGTTCGTGGCTAATGTCTGCTCGTAATGCGTGTGTGTGTGTGTGTTTGTGTTTGTGTGAGAAGGTGGGGAGTCATTTTCATTCAATTCTTCAGAGACCGGGAGACACTCAGAGATGCGTGAGTGGAATCTCAAAAGGCTGTCTGTGTCTATCTTCCCCTTTTCTCTCCGTCTGTCTGTTTATCTCTCCCTCGCTCACACTGTCTCAACCTGCATCGCCCGTTGTCTTTTTTACCACCTCTGTCTCTCACAGGAATACTTTTTTAAAAAATTTATAATTAGCTCT